GCATCATATGAATTCTGGCATTTTACACATAGTCCACCAGGAGGCGCCAACACAAAAGTCAGAGACTTCACATGAGGTTTGGACCATCTTGTGGGAGAAAAGCAGATTACTTCCTACTCGTGAGCAGTACTCAACTACTCTGGTGGGGAAACTTTTTTCAGGGATACAAACTTTTTCAGAACACCGGTAGACGGCAGCCATTACAGACGAACATGTGTTTGTTGTTGTTNSAGGAGCAGCTCGGTCACACACTAATGTCATTAGTTTGTTATCATTACTAAGATGCAGGGATGATTTTTCCCCTTTTTTCACATCATGTCTCCTGCCTGGATCTGTTATTATCTCACTCTGAAGCACAGAGGAGTGTCAGAGGTAAGCTTGCTTCAACTGCTTTTTACGTTGTGGTTTCATTTCCGGACTCAGGCATTTTGTGAATGAATTTCAGTTAAAATACATAAGTAAAAATATTTATCGGAGTATAGTACTACCCCCCAACTTTATGGATGATTTTATGGAATAAATTTTACATATTATACTTGAATAAATACGGTAACTAATGCATCAAGAAGAGTACACTCTGAGTTGACCGTGACATGTCACTCACACGATGTTTAAATAGATAATTACTCAAAATCCATCCTAGTTAAGCTCAAAATAAAACAGTGTGTGTGGTGCATTAAAAATCAGTGAAAAAGAGAACAAAATTTCATCCACTTGTCCTTCAAAACCTAGAATCAGCATAGTAAATAGGATGGTACATTTTGTGGAATTGAACTTTAAACCTTAAAATAAAAGCTAAAAATAATTTTTGTAAATTTAACACTATGAAAAAAATATAGGCAGAAATGGGCGTGGCCTATACCATGTAACTCAGTGGTGTCCAGGGATTATGTTGTTATAAGCCAAAAAAAATTGATGTACAGTTTAGAAGCCAGAAGACCAAATGCAAAGACAACAGAAAAAACAGGAGTGTTAAAATTGGGCTTGGACCCCTGATAACAAGGTATTTGCCCTTTTTTGCTATATTGCTGATTCCTCCTAAAGTCTTCTGTGAGGTGGCAAAAGTGAACATTTTAAGCTGTTTTCTTGAGGACAAGAAAGTGAATTGTTTGTTTCAGGTGTGCATGAATTATTTTACCAGCTTTAGTACCCACAGTATGTATTTCATAGTTATGACAAATGTTTGCTTTTTTGTTATATCAGATATCAAAGCTACATAAGAACAACAGTAAGTAAAAGTGTAAGTAGAAAAGAATGTAAGTAAAAAAAATAAAAATATGTTCTGTGGCCAGTAAATGGCAGGATAATAAGACTGAAAAGTTCATGTTTTTATCCTCACATGTGATCAATAATTTCCTTTTTGTGATACAGAACAAAAAAACTGAAAGCTTTATTAAGATCTTTTAATATATATATTTTATTTTGAAATAAACATGTTTAGCACATGTCCATGATGCGCCTCATGCTCATGAACCTTGTGCCTCCGAATCCCATTTCCCTGAAGCTCCTGTACTCTCCGGGCCTCAGATACATCATCTTGCCCCTGTAGTGGGGCTGCTCGTACATCAGCCAGTGGCCGTCCATCACGTGGCAGGACATGCAGTCGGACATACGGTAGCGGTCCATGATGGAGTCACAGTCGTCCATCAGCTCATACATCTGACCACCAAAGTTCTCCCTCTCGTAAATCCTCATCCTAAACTGGCCTCTGTGCTGTTCAAAGAAAACACAGTAAATGTTCAGTTTCCTGTCTGGTGTTCTCTTGTTTTAGAACATTAAATCATAACATATTAATTATACTTACCATTGGGATCATACGGCAAGACCTGATTGCACCACTCCATCCCATCATGTTCATGTAGTCAGCATACTCGCCCTTCCTCATGAAGTACTGGTTTCCCATGTAGTTGGGTCGGTCATAGACCATAAAGCAGCCGTTCTCCACCCTGCAGGAGTGGCACCTGCTCAGGTAGGAGGACATGTCAGCACAGTCACTCAGACACTCATAGGAGCGACCCTGGAAGTTCCTGTCCTCGTAGAAGATGATCTGGGAAACAAAGAGAATCATTGTTACAAACAGACAAGCATACTTTCATCCCACAATGTTTATAGTTTAAAAGACTATAAATTAGATTTTAACAATAGTTTAAAACTTGCCTTGCCCATGCTCATGTCAGTGGTGGACATATTTGTTTTAAGTGAGCTGCTGCTACTGTTCCTGCTACTGCTGCACTGCTGTCCTGCATGCTTTAACCCTTGCTTTTATATCTGACAAAACCCTGCAGAGTCAGTGGACCCCATTGTTTAAATTACTGACACAGCATGACGGTATAGAGCTCTTTAGTGTTCTGTGAATCTATTCTATGTGATCACATGACTTGGCCCCTCAAATATAATAAAACTGTATACTACTGACATGCAACACAAAGCCTTCCAACACTTCTCTAACTGGAAGAGTTATTTGAACTTCATTGTTTTTATTTAGACAATACACAGTATTATAAT